GATAGGACAAGAGAACAAAATAACAGAATGGAAAAGAAATAGATTAGACTTGCAATGCAATGAAGAGCATAACTGTACAAATGGCAATGAAAAATTGTCGATGATTCAAACTGATATAATTCCGTAAAGAAAGATAATATAACGATCCACTTGGTCTCGTTTTAAAGCGCGAAGAAAATCGTAAATATGTTCCTTTCGAGAAATGATTTTACGTAGCAGAGAAGTAGTAGGAAAAAATATGGATACTTTCTTTCTACTTTCGAAAATTGTAAAATTCCAAAAAAAATCTGAAACAGAATGGTTTCTAACAATTGTCACTGATAAAAGTACAATATCAGTTTACGATTAGCATAATTCACGCTTTTCTTAAGAAAACGTTGAATGAACAAAGGAAAGTATTCTCTAAATTACTCTTAACAAAACGATCGGTTAGATCAGTCACCAATTTGAAGTCCCATTAGAATTGTTAATCGAACTGTTTACAGTTATAAAATCAAGACTGGCCACTTTTTACTTAACACGAAAATAAAGAAATTAAGAAGGAGAAACGATTACTTAAAATAAGGTAAGGGATAATAGTTAATTTCAAGAAAAGAAACGAGTACAAATAAATCACTCGTCGGAACACCCTGTATGTAAAATTAAACAGTTCATTGTGAACCAGGATAAGTTAATTATTTATTATTAAAATTGTTGTCAAAATTAAAAGAAAATTATTTCACAATTTTCAGTGTTTCACAGAAATGTTAGAAAAGCAGGAAAGTGTCGAGCTAATTTTAAAGATAAAATACAAACCGCACGGCTGCTGGGGAATACGAACCGGCTCTTTGGGCCTTTCTAGATACTTTCTGTGTGATATTTCTAATGCTTCGGGTTCACTAATAATATACGATCCCGCTTTCTCCTCGAAACTAATTGGCAAAACGTACGCGCAATTGATTCGACACTTTGTGCAAGTATTTGCTACAATTCCTGGTTCACCACATTCTTCCTGTTGAGAGTGAGACAATATGTTGCAAATATTGTATGAAACAGCTAGTGCTTATTAAGCTGTTTTCTTCATTGCAGAAAAGAAAAATTTCACATTCTATCTTCCAACATTATTGTGAAAGAAGAGGTGAGTATTTCGTTTGAAATAATAAAATATTTGAACTTTTTGCAAGATTAAACTTAAGTTTATTTTGAATGTTCAAAACTCAGAAATCTTTTTGTTATAATTTATGTATTGTTTTCATTGTAATTAATTAAATAAGTTGTTTTTCAAGAAAGATTTATTATAGATATATATATATATATTTTTTGTATATTATGCTTACGTTCAGAGTGAGGTAAGCGTTTTGATAGAACTTTAAATATGAGCGAAGAAGTTACATTAGAATACTTAATTAGAGAATTACTTGTGTCCTAAATTCCTGACACTTTCATCTTCTTCTGCATCTGCTTCGCTTGAACAGTGCAACAAAGAATACCGCTGTTCGCTTTATAAAAATTTTAGTTTTGTCGAGGCTATTATGAGCTACCGACAGCATAGGTAAACATGAAGCTTAAAATATGTTAATTTTAGAATTTATTTTCATTTTTACGACAGGTAGAAAATTTTCCACTCCTGAGTCAAAAGTTTTAGGACACTTTATTTTTACTATTCAATTTTATTTTTAAAAATTTTAAAATTACTCGTGTATTTTAATAACACATAAATAATAATAATATAAGTAATATAAATATCAATATATTAATAATAAGAAGAATTATAAATTCTTTCTTATATAAAGAATTATTTTATTTTTTTGAAATAGATATAGTGTGAAATTTTTTTCATAATCTTTGTATTCTTAAGTTTCATGTATAATAATAGATTTCGTGAAATTCTCCTATAATATTTAGAAAAATTTTGTATGATTTTTGTAGAGAATAATCATTATTATAAATATATGTATGTTCAAAAAAGGGATATATTAATCTCTAAAAGTTTGAGATTACTCTAAAAGAATTTAATGAAAAAATTTTAAGTTAAAAGAGGTTTTGAGCTTTCACATGTGCAATTATATATAATTTCATATGTGCAATGTACATTTTAAATTAGTAGGTACATAGTATACATATGTAATTTACTATAGTAAAAGTAGTATAGCACATAAGAAAATGTATAAAATATCCAAAATATAGCCTTCTACGAATATTTTTCCATCAGATTCATTTTTATCAAGGTTTTTTAAATTAATTAATAAATTTAATATTTAATGTTTATTTGAGCAAATTATTTAAGGAATATTCGTTGTAATTAAAAAAAAATGTATAAATTTGGATAAAAATCCGCAGTCGAACAATTGTTTGAAATTTATTTCAAATATTTTCTTTATTCAGTTCTTTTTAACTTATCTTCGTATTTGATTCTATATAGTAAAATTGTGAAAAATTAACTATGTAAACATTATCAAAGTTATAATATATTAAATATGTTAAATCATAATAATTATAATACATTCAAATACTTTTATATGATAACATTTTAAATGTATAAATGAAACAAAAAGGCGATAAAATACTATTTATAAAAATGGAAAGTATGACAATAGAATGAAAAATATCTTCACAAATCGTATCTCAAAGATAATCAATTTCCAATTTCGTTTTCTCTTCAATAAATGAAAATCAATTTTGTTCTCTTCATTACAGTATTTATGTTGTATTATATAATTGTAGTATTATATATTTTAAATTTTACTTTCTTCTTTACTTAAATTTTACTAAAACTTTACTTAAATTTTACTTTCTTCTTTACTTAAATTTTACTTTCCTTTTCAACAATTACGTTATTTTCAATTTTGTGTTTGATCAATATAAACGTTAGAAGTGAGGCCATAAACTTTTGAGCAGTAGTGTACGTGAAACGCCTTAAGGAATACAATCGTTTCTTAACGCTAGAACTACTGACCTGTAATGTTTACCTAAATATGTCATACGTAGATGATTAGAATTAAAGTGGTAGAATGAAAATAAATAGATATGTAGTGAATCATAAAATTACTCATGCATGTGGCACAAATAGCGAATGGTGTAGAGTAATGCAGAATTACGAACATATTGAAATTGTAATTTCTCTATTTCTATCATCGGATTTGAATCCGATCGAGACTTGATCTCTCTCTACATTGATATTTTATCAGAAACATAATTTCATTTATCAAGTGAACTAAAAATGCAGTTGCATAAAATCAGGAATAATTATATAAAAAAAGAATGTCGTATCAAACATTAATTTTTGTAACTGTTACTGAGTTACAACTTTTATAAATATTGTTGTTATCGTTATTAATTATAATGCTGTTATTGAGTAATGATTTTTTAAAATACGAATCGCAATTTATGATTTTTGTTATCTCGGAGCTTGAATTGTAAACAATGGCTCACGAAAGTATTAGAGCATTCATTATAGAGAAACTTTTATGTATGTGTGTATGTTATATAAATATAATACATATTATAATATTATAATATACGTTAATATTATAATACGTATATAATACTGTCGAAATTATATTGGTGAAATTTGAATAATATAATATACAACGTAAAAAGTGTTCATAATGTATTCATAAAATATATTCATAGTATTATTATAAATGTTCGAATTGTATTTTCTAATTGAAAAATATTCATCACATCATTTTGTATGATTTGATTACACACTTGATTGTGCAAATGATTATATCTCTATCTTAAAGTGAAAGTGAATAATATTAGCATATTTTTAGTAATTGTAGAAGCAAGAGGTCTGAAACATAATTCATTTAATTAGACAGTTTTAGTACTAAAAAATAAATATCAATTTTTAATTGCTGTTGGAATATTTTATAAATATTCATACAATATATACAATGTATATATTGCTATAACTTTCATTTTAATTATGAATATAATCAATTACTTGATACTTTATATTAACCATAAATTGAGTAATTTTTAAACAAATGTAAATCAAGTGTTTTATAAAGTACTTTTATAAAGTACTCCTTTATAAAATAAATAAAGTTACTTTGATAATATAATACATTCAAGACGAATCAATGAACAATCAGTTGTTTCTATTTCTATATAAGTCAGCATTGTAAGAAACAATGGTTTTAAAAATTATTATTTTGTTAGGCAGTATTAAGAAAACATTAATCGTAAATTGCTTCTACAAGTACATATATACGTTATATCAAATATATCAAATATTACAATAATTATAATTTAAAATAATAACTTAAGAACGACAAACATAATAATATAACAATAAATTCTAATAATTACAATTAAAATTAATGATCATTCTTTAATTATTAAAATTAATTAATTTGATTAAATTGTAATTGAAATATTCAATAAATTGCTCAATAAATATTCAATAAATATTCAATAGTAAAATCTCAATTGTAATACAATATAATAATATAACATATACATATAAATAATACAACATATACAATATATATAATATACATATAAATAATATAACATACAATATATATAATATACATATAAATAATAAACATAATACAATAAAAAGTCAACAATAATCTTACCAGAAACTCCCTTAATTAAAATAACTGATCTAAAACCTCTCGTATCATCCAGCAGCGTTAATAATCCTTGATTGCTACGGATAAGATCTCAATGAAAATCTCTCTCAAATTTCCAAGTCAACTTCAAGAAACAAAAACTTCTTATTTCGTTTTATATAGGTCTTTGGTAGCGCGCATCCTTCCCTCGTCAAGATACCTAAAAAATATCTTCGTTCGCCAGCTCTTTGACCAGTTTCTCGCCTCCTCCCTTGCACGGTGTGTGCTCCGCGTCCGGCAACAACCATCCCTGGCCGGTTCCTCGTCCAACGAAAAACCAGTAGGTGAAGTAGGAGGAAATAGAGTAGTAGTAGGAGGATTCCACCTCCACGACGACCGGCAAATCCTGCGGGACGGCTCGACGGACACCTGTAACCACGCAGACTCCCTGGCAGCACGCCACGGTGCGAAGGAACTTCCCCGATAGGGAAACCGTATCGGTCTCCTCGCAGATCATTCAGGATACCGCGCGTTCGCGTCCGCTCTGCTGCCACCGCGATTCATCATCATCATCATCATCATCATCATCATCATCATCCTCGATCGTGATCGAGACCGAGCGACAGTGGATGGTCTATCTCGCCTCGGTGATTCGTTTCCCGTTATCTTTGGCCAAGTGTGCGCGTTTTCACCGGCGGGGAGGAGGGAGGAGGACACCAGCCTATCGTACGAAAAACTCGACGATAATTGGAACGCGCGAGCGTGATCAATCAGGAAACCACGCGTGTGTGATTTCTAAGCCGTGTATATGTAATTAAAGAAGAACGCGCGGTGTTCTTTTCGATTTATTTGCCCGTAATGTATCAACGAACGAGATTTCGAACGGATTGTTTGTCGTTCCTCGAGTTCTCAAGTCGACTCTGAGCAGAGTTCCTCTCGTTACGAGAGAGAAAGAGAGAGAGAGAGAGAGAGTAATTGATTTAATTGTCGCACGGAGGAAGAAGAGCTTGTGAATACTCTGTCGGAGAATGGATACGCCGAAGGTAACGCGATTGTACGTGAAACGATCTACCGATCATCGAGAGAAACGCAGTGGTCCCTGAAAGAGCGTGCGTGTCGAGTTGTTGAAAGATTGGACAATAATCAATGGACCAGAGGTACTGATGCACGAGCCAGTGGAAAGAATGCCGGTCTCTTAGAATGTAATGTGCACGAAGATGACGGTAACGAAGAGAAGCGCTGCTAAAGCTTGGCTGATCTTGTTCCTGTTGCTGATTCACGATGGCAGGTGCATCAAGTGGTTGTAAGTAACTTAATGATACAGTTTCTTGGTCGTTTCTTTTTTCCTTTTCATTTGTAGATTTCAACTTCGGGTACACGAGGTGAAATTTACGTTTGAGTTTGACTTACGTGTTCGTGTTCGGGAAAATATGTGCACTTGAGTGTACACGCATTTATATTTATTATTATGTAATATAATAATAAACTAAATAATATTTTATATTATAAAATATTATGTAATAATATAATTATATTTTGTAATATAATATATTCATATATTTATTATATCATTTGTATGAATTATGATAATAGAAATAATAGAAATAGAGAAGAAGGAAAAACTGTTTGTTTGATTCGATGTTGGAATTTTTACAAATATGTAGAAATATTAGGAATTCAATTATGATTTTCCTTTGAAATAATTTAGATCAAAAATGCGACTCGAATGTAAGAAATTATTATTCTAATCATATTTGACTTTAATATGTTTAAATGTTTTTTAACGTTATATATTATATTTAAATTTAATATTAATTAATATAAAATTTAATACAAATAATATATTCATATATTACATACTAAACATGTTCAATCAAATAAAATCTTCACTTATATTTCATAATAATGAACGATAGAATATAATAAATATTTAATAAATATGAATGTCATTTATGAATAAAAAGTAATAAAAGTACATGTTATTGTATAGCCACAATGTATCCAATATTAAAATTTTTTGAAATATTGGTTTTAGATTGTAAAATGGAAAATCTGTAATATTTCATCAGAAATTTTTGTACAACAATGTAACATAATTTAAACTTGATGCTAATTATAATTTTAAAACACATATTTAACAATCTAAAATGTTTTGAGTGTAACGTTTACAATCTAAATTATAATTTATAAAGCTACATATTTATAACATTCATCTAAACATGGATTACAGTTTAAAGAATTATGATTTAATAACATAAAATAAAATATAGCTTATTTATATGTTTTATATCTAAATACATTATAATCTACTAATCTAATAATTTAGACTGCAGTTTGAAGACAATAGCTTTAAAATACCCAATTACAAAATATCTAATAGTTATTACAAAAGGAAAACTATAAGTCCAACATACTTAATAATCCAAAGAATTATAATTTAAAATCCAGAATCCGTAAAATTTTATTTGTTGTTAACACTTCCAATTTTTCCACATAGAGCACGTTAATTAGTTACAAAAATAATCTCTGATTAACACCAGAACTATACCAAAATTATAAATTAATCAAAATAATCAGTTTTACAATATTTCAGAGTAATATTTCACAGATTCACAATGTTGCATTTTTTAAAGATTTTTAAAGAATGACTTTTGCAAAATACTGCAAACCATTCGCATTTTCCCATTTCTATGAGAAATTAGAGTAGGTAGTTCCATCCAGTGTTAATCGTCGCGTGGAGCAATAGGACACACGTGTAAAGAAATTTGAACAGACGTCTGATAGCCGCGTTCGATTCGAAAGCTCCGTGAATCCTTCGGTAACAAGCAACCTCTCGATGTTCCCGCATCGAGAAGTTTTGTCCACGAGGGCTCCGGAGAGGATCGAAGATTAATGTAGGTCCGTTAATGAGAAACAAATAGGTTACTAGCCGTGCGTACGTGTGCGTGAGGCAGAATGGAAGCGGAGCAAGGATCATTTTACTCTATTATCAAGATTTCTTTCTTGCTTGTTTTCTGTTGCTCGCGGCGAGGAACCCCGAGGAACAATAAGTCTCAACGAGAATTTATTATATGTTCGAACTTCTCTTATGCGCGATGCATCGAATTTAGGTTTATTAGGGTATCGTTTGTTCTCTGGCTGACTCGTAAATTCATACAAAAATATCATCCGCGTGTAGGTGAAGAATGTTCTCGGCGCGGCGATGGGAATTTGTTTCCAACAACTGTCGAATTTTCTCGAGTTATTGCATTCTTTGAGTTTTTCTAGCTTTTGTCTATTGTTATTGTATATTCTTGAGTTCTCTTCGCTGTTCCACCTTTCTATATTTCATTTATCGCTGTATGTATTCTTAAATATTAGTTTCCTTCGTCCTTCTTCAATCTTCTTTGTTGTATTTTTTAATTTTCTTTGTTTTATCATTGTTATTATATTTTTCGAGTTCTCTTTACTTTCTCTCCAATTTTTGCTTCCGTTTGTCAGTGTTCTCTTTGAATTTTATTGATTTCTTTCATCTATGATTCCTCTTCGAATTTTCTCTTCTCTTGAAGCTTCTTATTATATTATATTCTTTGTTATTATATTATATTCTTATATTATATTATTTTATATTATGTGTATATATATATATATATATAGATAGATAGATAGATAGTCTTATATTATATTCTTTGAATATTATATCCTTAGTTTATTATTCTTATTATACTTTTTTAATTTTCTTACACGTTTCGTTTATCATTACATTCCTCGAATTTTTTGCTCTTCTTATAGATATGTTTCATTTGTTAACAATAATATTTCAATTTTGTTTACATTTCCTATATCTTTCATTGATTATTATGTTCTTTGAATTTTTATTACTCTTCTTGAGCATTTCGTCAATTTTATCACTGTAATATTATTATCATAGTCATCATAATGTTTTTCAAATTTTCTTTACTTTTTACACGTATCGTTTATTATTAGGGGAGTCTAAATTTCAGTTTCAGTGTAACAGATCAATACGATTCACTGCATACATAATTCTTTTTATATTATTAATTGAAGAAGAAAATAAATACATATGTAGATATTGAATATCAATTTTAACGTTAATCAACATTTGAATATTAATCATTTTTTGTATTAAGTATTATTATTCATTTTTATTGTAACAATGTTAATACAAGTACTGTTATTTTGATATTATTTATATTGAACAATATTATACAATTAATATAAAATGTATAGAATGTATTTTTAATGTTAGAACTAAGAAATAAGCAATTCTACATGAAAAGAAAAGAATAATAATTCTCTCATTTAAAAGTTTGTTTTCGAGAAAATCAAGCTTGAAAATTTATCAAATATACGTACTTGAATTTTGCAAGTTCTACATTCTACATAAATAAATGAAAAATGTAGAATAAAAATTTTTTATTTAAAGTTCCGCTTTTAAAAAACCAAATTTTTAATATATTTTTAAAGAAATTTTATTCTACATTTTCCATTCATTTTTACATGTAGAATGGCATTTTTTAATTATTTACTCCTGTACAGTCTGTTCCATGTATGCTCATGGGATATTCAAAAAGTCATTTTTCTCCGAAACGAAGCGTCGTACGAAAAAAATTTCATTGCATCATGTATTTTTGGCTTATTTTTGCACGTAGAGACAACCTCTGTTTCCGGTTGTCACATGAAAACTGGGACACTCGAAAATATTAACATCAATACTACAATATTGAGTCATTTCAGATAAAGTGGTCGAAACTGTAATAAACCGTTTGATATTTACAGTCGAAGATAACAATCAAAATGTGATTTAATCGATTCAGTATATCCTATCCTGTTGCAAAACAATATCACGATTCAAATTTTTGATTAATAGTCGTTCATAAATTGGTTTACTTACATCTTGTGAACAAAATTTTTCACTAACAGATTATTTGTTTTCTTGATGTATCGCGTCACATTGTATTATGTCAAAGTTTAACATAAATCTTAATATGATAGAAAATAGAATTATACTAATACTGATGTAATAAAAAACTAATTCACTTTGATAATGCACTTGTCTTTTATAACAAAACAACTGATAAAATACCTATTTTACCTCATTGTGTTAAAATTCAACATTGATAAATATTATACTTAATTAATATTATACCTGAATTGGCTGTTTTATTATGTTGTACAGATTATATGTACATCTGTTCATATATAAGATATAATTATACATATTATATCTACTATGCTAATATAATACTATTATTGTTATTAAATCGACAGTGTATTATTATAACTATACTATAAATAAATATTGTAATGTATAGAATAAATTAGAAAGATTGGACAGAGCTAAATAATACATAATAATAATACATTGCATGTATATTATATTCTAACAGAAATATAAGAATCTTACTATCAATGATCATAGATAATCAGAATATTCAGTCATAAATATTTGTACAGGCTGTACAATTTATTAGCAATGGTTATAAACCATCTACAAGTTTGATAAATTTAACAAAAAGTTGTTGCAGACATGAACTTCACACTCAGACAAATTTATATATGTAAATATCACGCCAGTTCAATGGTAATTTTAAAATTCAAGACTTGTGATTTCCTATTAAAAGATGAACGTCGAGGGAAATCGATACATTCTAAAAAAATAATACACGTCAGATAACAAGAGAAACGCTATTTCAAATAGACATAATGCATTCTATCGTTATTCATCACTTGGCTCAAATAGGAAGAGCAAAAAAAAAAAAAAAAAAAAAAGAAAATGGATAAGAAGCTTATGCGAATGGAGATAGCCAACTCGTTACTTCGAACAACTATACAGGATCTGCTCTTTAAAGTTATTGTTCCTTATGACGATCTTGTATGCTAAAACACTTGATGCAATGGTAAAACAATGGTGTAACATATGTACATCCTGAAATGATAATAGCGATTAGTTTGGATTGTTGAACTGGTGACTAGGATTGATCCATTATTGTACAGAATTGATTCATCATTATTTTATATAATTTGACATTACAGTTATAATAGATGTAAATACGTCTATAGAAATAATTTGAACATGATAACTGGACTGTGAGTATGTATATAATTTTATATTCTATATTTTTGTTTTTTATAATTAAGGAAATGACACTAAAGCAAGAATTCTTGTAGATTTGTGGAATTTTAAATTTTTCAAAAATTAAAATATCTAAATATCTGCAGTTTGATGATGATAGAAAATCGTACGATAATAGAAAAATATTAAAAAGTAGAATATGAAATTCCAAAGAAAAATTTTCTTGT